TGATAGAGAGTCGTTCTAAGCGACGACTCACACTAATCATCCTTGATAGAGAGTCGTTCTAAGCGACGACTCACACTAATCATCCTTGATAGAGAGTCGTTCTAAGCGACGACTCACACTAATCATCCTTGATAGAGAGTCGTTCTAAGCGACGACTCACACTAATCATCCTTGATAGAGAGTCGTTCTAAGCGACGACTCACACTAATCATCCTTGATAGAGAGTCGTTCTAAGCGACGACTCACACTAATCATCCTTGATAGAGAGTCGTTCTAAGCGACGACTCACACTAATCATCCTTGATAGAGAGTCGTTCTAAGCGACGACTCACACTAATCATCCTTGATAGAGAGTCGTTCTAAGCGACGACTCACACTAATCATCCTTGATAGAGAGTCGTTCTAAGCGACGACTCACACTAATCATCCTTGATAGAGAGTCGTTCTAAGCGACGACTCACACTAATCATCCTTGATAGAGAGTCGTTCTAAGCGACGACTCACACTAATCATCCTTGATAGAGAGTCGTTCTAAGCGACGACTCACACTAATCATCCTTGATAGAGAGTCGTTCTAAGCGACGACTCACACTAATCATCCTTGATAGAGAGTCGTTCTAAGCGACGACTCACACTAATCATCCTTGATAGAGAGTCGTTCTAAGCGACGACTCACACTAATCATCCTTGATAGAGAGTCGTTCTAAGCGACGACTCACACTAATCATCCTTGATAGAGAGTCGTTCTAAGCGACGACTCACACTAATCATCCTTGATAGAGAGTCGTTCTAAGCGACGACTCACACTAATCATCCTTGATAGAGAGTCGTTCTAAGCGACGACTCACACTAATCATCCTTGATAGAGAGTCGTTCTAAGCGACGACTCACACTAATCATCCTTGATAGAGAGTCGTTCTAAGCGACGACTCACACTAATCATCCTTGATAGAGAGTCGTTCTAAGCGACGACTCACACTAATCATCCTTGATAGAGAGTCGTTCTAAGCGACGACTCACACTAATCATCCTTGATAGAGAGTCGTTCTAAGCGACGACTCACACTAATCATCCTTGATAGAGAGTCGTTCTAAGCGACGACTCACACTAATCATCCTTGATAGAGAGTCGTTCTAAGCGACGACTCACACTAATCATCCTTGATAGAGAGTCGTTCTAAGCGACGACTCACACTAATCATCCTTGATAGAGAGTCGTTCTAAGCGACGACTCACACTAATCATCCTTGATAGAGAGTCGTTCTAAGCGACGACTCACACTAATCATCCTTGATAGAGAGTCGTTCTAAGCGACGACTCACACTAATCATCCTTGATAGAGAGTCGTTCTAAGCGACGACTCACACTAATCATCCTTGATAGAGAGTCGTTCTAAGCGACGACTCACACTAATCATCCTTGATAGAGAGTCGTTCTAAGCGACGACTCACACTAATCATCCTTGATAGAGAGTCGTTCTAAGCGACGACTCACACTAATCATCCTTGATAGAGAGTCGTTCTAAGCGACGACTCACACTAATCATCCTTGATAGAGAGTCGTTCTAAGCGACGACTCACACTAATCATCCTTGATAGAGAGTCGTTCTAAGCGACGACTCACACTAATCATCCTTGATAGAGAGTCGTTCTAAGCGACGACTCACACTAATCATCCTTGATAGAGAGTCGTTCTAAGCGACGACTCACACTAATCATCCTTGATAGAGAGTCGTTCTAAGCGACGACTCACACTAATCATCCTTGATAGAGAGTCGTTCTAAGCGACGACTCACACTAATCATCCTTGATAGAGAGTCGTTCTAAGCGACGACTCACACTAATCATCCTTGATAGAGAGTCGTTCTAAGCGACGACTCACACTAATCATCCTTGATAGAGAGTCGTTCTAAGCGACGACTCACACTAATCATCCTTGATAGAGAGTCGTTCTAAGCGACGACTCACACTAATCATCCTTGATAGAGAGTCGTTCTAAGCGACGACTCACACTAATCATCCTTGATAGAGAGTCGTTCTAAGCGACGACTCACACTAATCATCCTTGATAGAGAGTCGTTCTAAGCGACGACTCACACTAATCATCCTTGATAGAGAGTCGTTCTAAGCGACGACTCACACTAATCATCCTTGATAGAGAGTCGTTCTAAGCGACGACTCACACTAATCATCCTTGATAGAGAGTCGTTCTAAGCGACGACTCACACTAATCATCCTTGATAGAGAGTCGTTCTAAGCGACGACTCACACTAATCATCCTTGATAGAGAGTCGTTCTAAGCGACGACTCACACTAATCATCCTTGATAGAGAGTCGTTCTAAGCGACGACTCACACTAATCATCCTTGATAGAGAGTCGTTCTAAGCGACGACTCACACTAATCATCCTTGATAGAGAGTCGTTCTAAGCGACGACTCACACTAATCATCCTTGATAGAGAGTCGTTCTAAGCGACGACTCACACTAATCATCCTTGATAGAGAGTCGTTCTAAGCGACGACTCACACTAATCATCCTTGATAGAGAGTCGTTCTAAGCGACGACTCACACTAATCATCCTTGATAGAGAGTCGTTCTAAGCGACGACTCACACTAATCATCCTTGATAGAGAGTCGTTCTAAGCGACGACTCACACTAATCATCCTTGATAGAGAGTCGTTCTAAGCGACGACTCACACTAATCATCCTTGATAGAGAGTCGTTCTAAGCGACGACTCACACTAATCATCCTTGATAGAGAGTCGTTCTAAGCGACGACTCACACTAATCATCCTTGATAGAGAGTCGTTCTAAGCGACGACTCACACTAATCATCCTTGATAGAGAGTCGTTCTAAGCGACGACTCACACTAATCATCCTTGATAGAGAGTCGTTCTAAGCGACGACTCACACTAATCATCCTTGATAGAGAGTCGTTCTAAGCGACGACTCACACTAATCATCCTTGATAGAGAGTCGTTCTAAGCGACGACTCACACTAATCATCCTTGATAGAGAGTCGTTCTAAGCGACGACTCACACTAATCATCCTTGATAGAGAGTCGTTTTAAGCGACGACTCACACTAATCATCCTTGATAAAGAGTCGTTCTAAGCGACGACTCACACTAATCGTCCTTGATGGAGAGTCGTTCTAAGCGACGATTCACACTAATCATCCTTGATAGAGAGTCGTTCTAAGCGACGACTCTAACTAATCATCCTTGTTAGAGAGTCGTTCTAAGCGACGATTCACACTAATAATCAATAGTGGATATCAAGTTAACTATATGATAAACAGCAGTGACCTTTTTGACGTCATTCATACAGTCTCACTGACACTTAGTAGCCGTTTTCTCACAACGAGACTATTATTTCTTAATGCGGTACAACGTTATGTATCTTATTGTTATCCATAGGAATCATAATGGTTAGCATGCGATGCGATCCAGGCATTTCTTTTGTTCACAGTGGAAATGCTTACCTTAATGACAAAGTGTTAATGTTAATAGGTTATATAATACCTGTTGAGTTAACTCACATCTGTTGACTCATCTGTCTCTTACATCGCACTTCTCTCGATCAACGTTTAAAATAAAATGATAGTAAACCTGAAAATAAAGAAAATAAAAACCACAAATAAAAATAAATAAAAAAAGGAAGAAATAAAGCCCACAGCGGTTTTGTTCTTAATAAAAAAAAGACCTGCACTAAATTGTTGGTCGATATTTTTAAACATTTTGTGATGCAACTGGACATAAATGATCCCGAACAATGTTTCTGTTCTCTGTATTAAATCTCACAGCTCGAACATGTACTCCAGCACCTCACTCTCTGTATGCCTCTAACATATTTTGTCCTGACTTTTTGATTGGTAAGTATTTCAGATACAGATAAGTAAGGATTTCACTATCAGATCATTTAAGGTGAGCACCTACTATTTTTAGCTGAAACGTGATGGCATATATCTGCTTTCTTTGTATTAGGATTTGTCAGTATTGCCTATGATGTATATTTGAATTCGGGCCGAGTTTGATACTTCTTAAAACAATAAACCTTTATATACGATCTTGATGAAAAAATTAAATATACTGAGCGATATCGTTTAAGGTGATGACCACTTAATGTCATAACGTGTATATCACTGCGGGTGTTTTCTCCTATAACCACTGTATGTTCACTTACCTCATGTGCAGTTGTATATTTAAAACATGTAAACGTGACGATGTCCATGTGATATTACAGGTAGTTCTGTTACCTGGTGTACTGATTGGAACCAAGCACTTTAAATAGTCATATGTTTGAAATTATTCAATTCGATTGACGTATGATGCATATTTACATTCCTTAGATTGTAACGGAGAATTGTGTTATTCACGATTTGTTTTCAGGACTGGTGCGTTATGTCGACCTCGTAATAAACATTAGGAATATTGTGATATATATTGGAAATTTGCTATGTTTGAAATCCTGTTACCTGTTCTTTTAAACAGACTTGTGGTTTGTTATGTACAAAGATGATTTTGTAAAAAGTTTACAATCGAAATAAATGTGTATCAAATATCAGGAGTTTGCATTTATATATAAATTACAAGGTCTCAAATATGAATCAAAATATTTTTCGAACATGATACAAGGGATGGTGGTGCTTAATTTAGGAACCTTACCCACAAACAGATGTGTGAAATAATACAAGCGATGGTGGTGCCTAATTTAGGAACCTTACCCACAAACAGATGTATGAAATGCAGTACCGATTATTCTTTGCTTTGGTAATTATTCTCCGAATTTCAAGGTCAAATTTTGTGTGAAGCTTTTACAATTGAAAAGGACATTGATTTGTCTCAGAATAAGAAACTATTTGATAACAAGTAATGTTTTAATAGTTATTGTTGCCACAGTCTATCATTTCTTGTTGTTAAATCTTGTAGTCATGGAAACATTGAATATAATGGTATATATTCACAGCCAAAAATAACATCTGATATATTTTATTTCAGATGACTTCGGTAATGCGAAGGCAGTCTTCTACGTCAAACGAAAACGACGTGAGGATGCGCAATAGCAGGGCCGGTGCGCATGCTCAATCCGCCGATTCGCCACCATCATCGCCAGCGCCTGCCGGGGACCGAGGGAGCAGAGCGTGCTGTTTTTGTTGGTGCTGTTGTTGTACTTGTTCATGGTGAATGCATGACACATTTAGCGTTCCTTCTATTCTCTTGGGTTTCACCCGTAGTCTAAATATTTAGTCTGGAACACGTCTTTTATTCCTCATTTTAGTACGTTTCAATGATAAAACGAAAATCGATTTGAAAAAATAGTTTACAGTATGTCCCCATTTTACAACGATAAACAAGTTTCCTATTTCTCTTCTGGTGCGAACTTTCAAACAAAGAACCCCTAAAACCAAGTACTATGCACTAGTTCCAGACTAAATATCTTCTGTCCTATTCTTTGATAGCATAACGAGAAATGTATACTTCTTACCTTTATTGAAAACAGAGGGGTTTTATTAATTAGTCAACATATGAGATATAAAAAGTTAATGGAGAAATAACATCTTTCAGGTCTGGATGTTTTGGTATCTATACAAAGCAATCTAGTTTCCGCTCCCCTGTCTTTACTTCTCACTCGCCTTTCTGTCCGTTAATCAACCAATACGTCAGAAAGACTTATATCTGAAATTAATAACTTTTCGTTGACGCTTGTACACTGGGGCGTAATATCAAATTAGCAATTCGTTAGCATGTTATGATCACAGTTTGGCTTTATGCCAAATAAATATTATATTCACAATTGTATTCAGTGAAATACAAACAAAACATTCACCAGCATTTTAAGGGTGTAACATACATTCAACACGAACAATATATAAAGCAATCAGCGTACTAGTTTTAGCGTAAAAAAAGCTCATCAGCCTATTAAGCGCAAAACAAATATAAATCCTATCAGTCGATAAAGTGACAAAAAAATCAAAACACTCCCCATTCTATTTATTGTTGATACATAACACTCTCTAGCCTATTTATTGTTAATACAGAACACTCTCTAGCCTATTTATTGACAATACAGAACACTCTCTAGCCTATTTTTTGTTGATACATAACACTCTCTAGCCTATTTATTGACAATACAGAACACTCTTTAGCCTATTTATTGTTGATACATAACACTCTCTAGCCTATTTATTGACAATACAGAACACTCTCTAGCCTATTTATTGTTAATACAGAACACTCTCTAGCCTATTTATTGTTGATACCGATCACTCTCCAGCCTTTATAGTGTAGATACATATCACTCTTCAGCATATACAGTGTAGATACAGATCACTCTCCAGCCTATATAGTGTAGATACAGATCACTCTCCAGCCTATATAGTGTAGATACATATCCCTCTCCAGCCTATAAAGTGTAGATACATATCACAATCCAGCCTATATAGTGTAGATACAGATCACTTTCAAGCTTATAAAGTGTAGAAACATATCGCTCTCCAACCTATATAGTGTATATGCATATCACTCTCCAGCCTATAAAGTTTAGATACATATCACAATCCTGCCTATATAGTGTAGATACAGTCTCTCTCCAGTCTATATAGTGTAGATACAGGAACTCTCAAACCTATAAAGTGTAAATACAGATCACTCTCCACCCTACAATAGTGTAGATACAGATCGCTCTCCAGCCAATATAGTGTAGATACCGATCACTCTCCAGCCTAGAATCTCCAACCTAAATTAGTGTAGATACATATCACAGTCCAGCCTATATAGTGTAAATACATATCACTCTCCAGTCTAAAATAGCGTAGATACATATCACTATCCAGCCTATATAGTTTAGATACAGATCACTTTCCAGCCTATATAGTGTAAATACAGATCCCTCCCCAGCTTATATAGTGTAGATACATACCACTCTCCAGCCTATATAGTGTAGATACAAATCACTCTCCAACCTAAATTAGTGTAGATACATATCACTCTCCAGTCTAAAATAGTGTAGATACATATCACTCTCCAGCCTAGAATAGTGTAGATACAGATCACTCTCCAGCCTTTATAGTGTAGATACATATCACTCTTCAGCCTATAAAGTGTAGATACAGATCACTCTCCAGCCTATATAGTGTAGATACATATCACTCTCCAGCCTAGAATAGTGTAGATTCAGATCACTCTCCAGCCTTTATAGTGTAGATACAGATCACTCTCCAGCCTATATAGTGTAGAAACATATCGCTCTCCAACCTATATAGTGTAGATACAGATCAATCTCCAGCCTTTATAGTGTAGATACAGATCACTCTCCAGCCAATATAGCGTAGATACATATCACTATCCAGCCTATGTAGTGTAGATTCATATCACTCTCCAGCCTGTATTGTGTAGATACATATCACTCTCCAACCTATAAAGTGTAAATACAGATTACTCTCCAGCCAATATAGTGTAGATACCGATCACTCTCCAGCCTATATAGTGTAGATACAGTCACTTTCAAACCTATAAAGTGTAGATACATATCACTCTCCAGTCAATATAGTGCAGATACAGATCACTCTCCAGCCTATATAGTGTAGATACAGATCACTATCCAGCCTATTAAGTGTAGATACAGATCACTCTCCAGCCAATACAGTGTAGATACAGATCACTCTCCAGCCTATAAAGTGTAGATACAGATCACTCTCCAGCCTAGAATAGTGTAGATACAGATCACTCTCCAGCCTTTATAGTGTAGATACATATCACTCTTCAGCCTATAAAGTGTAGATACAGATCACTCTCCAGCCTATATAGTGTCGATACAGATCACTCTCCAGCCTATATTGTGTCGATACGTATCACTCTCCAGCCTATAAAGTGTAGATACAGATCCCTCTCCAGCCTATAAAGTGTAGATACAGATCACTCTCAAGCCTAGAATAGTGTACATACATGTCACTCTCGAGTCTATAATAGTGTAGATACAGATCACTCTCCAACCTATATAGTGTCGATACAGATCACTCTCCAGCCTATATTGTGTCGATACCTATCACTCTCCAGCCTATAAAGTGTAGATACAGATCACTCTCCAACCTATAAAGTGTAGATACAGATCACTCTCAATCCTTTATAGTGTAGATACATATCACTCTCCAACCTATATAGTGTAGATACAGATCACTCTCAAGCCTATATAGTGTAGATACGTGTCACTCTCCAACCTATATAGTGTAGATACATATCACTCTCAAGCCTAGAATAGTGTAGATACATGTCACTCTCCAGTCTATAATAGTGTAGATACAGATCACTCTCCAGCCTAGAATAGTGTAGATGCATATCACTCTCCAGCCTAAAATAGTGTAAATACATATCACTCTCCAACCTATATAGTGTAAATACAGATCACTCTCCAACCTATGTAGTGTAGATACATATCACTATCCAACCTATATAGTGTAGATACATATCACTTTCAAGCCTAGAATAGTGTAGATACATGTCCCTCTCCAGTCTATAATAGTGTAGATACAGATAACTCTCCAGCCTAGAATAGTGTAGATGCATATCCCTCTCCAGCCTAAAATAGTGTAAATACATCTCCCTCTCCAGCCTATATAGTGTAGATACAGATCACTCTCCAACCTATATAGTGTAAATACAGATCACTCTCCAACCTATGTAGTGTAGATACATATCACTCTCCAACCTATATAGTGTAGATACATATCACTATCGAACCTATATAGTTTAGATACAGATCACTCTCCAACCTATATAGTGTAGATACAGATCACTATCCAACCTATATAGTGAAGATACAGATCACTCTCCAACCTATAAAGTGTAGATACATATCACTATCCAACCTATATAGTTTAGATACATATCACTCTCCAGCCTATATAGTGTAGATGCATATCACTCTCCAACCTATATAGTTTAGATACAGATCACTATCCAACCTATATAGTGTAGATACATATCACTCTCCAGCCTATATAGTGTAGATACAGATCCCTCTCCAGCCTATATACTGTCGAACAGATTAATAGTGTAGATACAGATCACTTTCAAACCTATATAGTGTAGATACAGATCACTATCAAACCTATATAGTGGAGATACAGATCACTATCCAGCCTACATAGTGTAGATACAGTCACTCGTAAACCTATATAGTGTAATTACATCTCACCCTCCAGCCTATGTATTGTAGATACAGATCACTCTCCAACCTATAAAGTTGAGAAACAGGTTACTCTCCAGCCTAGAATAGTGTACATACAGATCACTCTCCAGCCTATATAGTGTCGATACAGATCACTCTCCAGCCTATATATCGTAGATACAGATCACTCTCCAGCCTAGAATAGTGTAGATACAGATCCCTCTCCAGTCTATATAGTGTAGATACAGATCACCCCCCAGCCTATATAGTGTAGATACAGATCACTCTCCAACCTACAAAATGTAGATACTGATAACTATCCAACCTATAAAATGTAGATACAGATCAATCTCAATCCTTTATAGTGTGGATACATATCACTCTCCAGCCTAGAATAGTGTAGATATAGATCACTCTCCAGCCTATATACTGTCGATACAGATCACTCTCCAGCCTATATGGTGTAAATACAGATCACTCTCCAGCCTATATGGTGTAGATACAGATCATTCTCCAGCCTATATGTTGTAGATACAGATCACTCTCCAGCCTAGAATAGTGTAGATACAGATCACTCCCCAGCCTATATGTTGTCGATACAGATCCCTCTCCAGCCTATATTGTGTCGATACCTATCACTGTCCAACCTAGATAGTGTAGACACAGATCACTCTCAGGTCTATATAGTGTAGATACAGATCACTTTCCAACCTACAAAATGTAGATACTGATCACTATCCAACCTATAAAATGTAGATACAGATCAATCTCAATCCTTTATAGTGTAGATACATATCACTCTCCAACCTTTATAGTGTAGATACAGATCACTCCCAAGCCTATATAGTGTAGATACATGTCACTCTCCAACCTATATAGTGTAGATACATATCACTTTTCAGCCTAGAAGAGTGTAGATACAGATCACTCTCCAGCCTAAAATAGTGTAGATACATATCACTCTCCAACCTATATAGTGTAGATACAGATCACTCTCCAGCCTAAAATAGTGTA